GCGAGGTACCACTGTACATTTGGGCAGAAGTCTTTACAAACCATAAAATGCCTATCTCAAGATGCCGATTTTCTGGGGTACATAATAAAATAAATGCATCTACTTGAGACTTCACTTAAAATCACTTTGAATAAAATAGTGGTTAATCAAAACTGACGTTTCCCTGTTCTCCCTCCACCTCCACTTTTAAAAGATTTATTATCACCGCATATTTGATCTTGCTGAACTTAGAGAACAAAAGATCCTTTACATAATACATTGTTCCAGCCTCTTAAAATGCTATTCAATTTATTTTCACAAGAACTGGCTATTGGAATGCAAATGTTCATTGATCGGCCATCCAGGCAACAGGGAATACCACTTACAGATGTTTCTTTTGAAGAACGAATCCCTTGTACATTAGGCCACCAATCATCTCCCTCAGATCTTACATCTTTCGTGCCAATATCATGTCTTCAAGGTACTTCGCTGATTTCCCCCCTCCTGAATTTGCTGTGATAATCTTACAAATGATACCAATTTTGTATCATGGTTTGGTAGCATTTCTCTGAACATTGTGCTCTTAAAATATACATTCAATTGTAGCGAGCAACCCTGAATTGGAAATGGATTGGTCAAGTTGGCTCACTTTTAATTTAAGTGAATTTACAGTAGATTGCACAAAATATTAATAAGTCGTAACTACTAAAGGAGCGAATGCACACATTTCTTTTCAAAGCTTTTCACTCTATTCCACAGGCTTGGGGCAAGTAAAAGTACATTTTTATCCTGTTTTATCCTCATAACAACTGTGTGAGGGAGTATGAGCTGACAGTCAGTTAACCACTTCTGTGACATGTGAGTTGTGTTCCTTTAGTATTACAAGTTTGTAACTCTAGTCCTCTTCTTGTTTTCATTCTGAACACACAAAAGGGCAAGTGTGAATGTGTGGCATAAACTCCACCCTTCAATCATGCTACATGAACCAGGCACACAAGGCATACATGATAGGCCTTACTCACACACAGCATTTCCAAAATGGGGAAAGGAAGCCAGGTCAGAGTTCTTGCCCCTCTCTTTGAAGCCCTTCACATGAGCAAGTCAGACTTTTTTTAGACCAAGGCTAATCACGTATTGGTCAGGGACTGTGCCTTGCATATGCAGCATCACTGAGAGGGCGGGGTTTGCCCCACATGTTTTTGGTGGGCACGGGGGATTTCAGGGGGGTAGAGGGTCAACAAAAATGGTTGCTCCTCCCTTCCTCCAACAGAGCATCCCATGGGTAAAGTCCCATCCATGGGTAGTTTGTTCCAACCCATAGAGTATTTGACAGTATTTCAGGAACTGACAGCTTATGAGACCCTGTATTTCAAGCCTGTCAAAATCAAAATGATCAAGGGATGACAGTAAGTAAGTCTTACTTATTCAAATTTTGGGAGGATAAAGTCAAGCAAAATGCAGTGCTTGTCACCGCTTGACTAACCATTGTTCAGGGATGGAGGACTAACTTGGCGTCTTCCCTTTTTACTTGGTTTAAGAAAGCTCCATTTATCACAATATCTGAAAAAACATACTCGTTCTTTATGAGTTTCCAGGGGTAAAGACAAACCTGCAGACTATGCAGCTACATGGTGGTCATTCATTATTTACGTCAAAAGACAAATTTAGGTCTGACATGTTCCTGAAAAGTATGTTTTTATCTGGATTTGTTTGTATCCCATGAATTTTCATTAACCGCTCCATTGTGCTTCCACTGAATCATTATCTTATTCATTGTAGTATTATTTCTAGATTCCTGCAATAACCATTTTTCTGCTCTTTATTAACTTGTGGACCATATGATGTCAAACATGCAAGCCTTCTTTCTGTGACTCTAAAACACCTGTATTGCTATGTGTAACAAAATGAAATAACTTTTGAAAAATGCAAATTCAGAATGCGCTGCACAAAGTTTGTAGAGTGAATTTGGAAACTTTACCATATTTTGAATATTTCTGAATATTAATTTCAGCACTACTCTGTGCTTCCTCTTAAGTTTTTTTAGGTCTAGAGAATGGAAAAGTACACCAAGTGCTTTTGAATATATGTGTTCTTTATCACCACCAGAAGTTTCTATTTTCAACACACAGCTGACTTACGAATATCTAAAAATTCAAAGCAAAGATATGGAATAGGCAGGATGTCACCAGAATTATGACAAGATCAAAGAAGTTACAGCCCACTATCGACCAGTTATTTGTCATCAGGTGGCACTTTGACAGCAGACTTATATTACAAAGCCATTTCTCTTCTCTATTCCACATAAACATCCCATTAACGTTTCTTACCATAGATATTTTTTATATATATGTGCTCAAAAATGAACATAAATGGTGTTCTGAAAATCCATTTAGGAATCATAAGCAAGAATAAATCAGGCAATCAAAATCCAACCTTCACATGCAAAGAAATAAGACGAAATCTTTCTCAATAACTAGAGATGTTGCCATAAAAAATGTCATGTAATTGGGAGGAATGGTCTTGTAGAATGTCAAACGGAGGAGGACGCCCATAGTCTGTGGAAAGAAGGAAGGGCTTTTGTTTTTGTCTCGCTAAAGGGAATTTTGGTAGGGGCAGCCTTGTCCATCTTTGAGAGGTTGTCAGGGTGTTTGAAACTTTTACAAGATCAGTACTAGAAGCCTTGGCAAGATCATACCTAGGCTGCAATTCAAGCTCCAGGGCACAGGTGAAAGGACCAGGTCCAGGAACAGGAGGCAGCAGCAGATTACACTTAACCACATAGTAACTTGTTGGCATCTTGCAAACTCCATAGCCTTCTGGTTGTAAATTACATTTCAGATATCCTTTTTCCTTAACTGTGCAGCCCAAATGTCATTTTAAGATCTTAACATGACTTTCTCCTGCAGAAAAGTGTGTGTGTGTGTGTGTGTGTCATGAGAAGTGGGCAATTACTTAGAAAGTAATGCCCCAAAGCATTGGCATTGCCCAGCTGCCTCTCCAGCCTCATAGTCCACACTCCCGTCCTCAGGCTGTTTTTAAAGTAATGTTGCACTACAACATTTTCTCATTTTGTATTTTTATATTGAGAACCTCCCTGCTTCATCTTCATATGAAGGGCAGAATACAAATTTAATCAATAACAACAACAACCTTTTGTAAGCAGTGCTAAACAGCTTTGCAGGGGAAGCAGACTGAACAATCTTTAGAGAATGGGCAAAGTCCTTAAAGACTGGAAAGTGTGTTACACCGATAAAATCACAAGACACTCTTTTTTTAGAGGACTTCTGAATGATGACCAGTCTTGTCAATATTCTTATGAGTTTCAAGTTCATAGCCTCCCATTTTCCAGGAAAAACCCTCAAATAAAGGTCATACCACAAGGTAGAAAAATCATAATTCTATTGTGTCAGGGCCTTCTTAAAAGTTTGCCAGATTGGATCTCTTCAACTTACGTGATTTAAAAATCTTTGTATGGATAACTCCTTCAGGCACTTAACATTAAAAGTCAGCACAGAAATCCCCAAACGTGTTGCCTTGATAAAGCATGGAGCAAACAACCTTGGGCAGTTCATAGGACAAAATGTTATGGCAGATGTCAAACTACTTACTAGCTGTGCTTGATGTTACATAGCTTGTTAAAAGGCACAAGACTTTCTTTTGCCCTGCAATATAAATTACGTATTAGAAAGATGCCCATGTACTAGAGGTTTATAGCTTAGCATACATAGTCTTCTGTTTGCTCAATATAACAGCGTGAAGCGAAACTGGCCTTCTGCCATTTCAATATCACTGGTCTCTTCCTCTTTGAATTTATTAGGGTTCAGCTGGATTCTATTAATGGTTTATTATCATTAGTATTAGTATTATTACTTCTCAACCATACAACCTTCAGAAACAATGCATACAACCTTCAGAAACAATGGATATCAATAACTGATTGGTTCTCTGTGGAGAAAGAAGGCCCATGCATTTAGAAGTCTGAACTAGAGTGGGGACCCATTTCAATGCCTTTTGTTAGCATCACATGTGCTTGTGCACATATTTATAGTAATACACCTGAATGTTGGAATCTTTAGCCTCTACCCTAGAGTCATGGTGTACCATGGCGGAAACTATATTTTCAGTAGACAGGATTATGAGACAAAACGCTAGAGTTCAGAAAACTCAGATGTGTGGTTCATTACACAAATAGACATAGTGACTACGAAGATAATATTCAGGGGAAATTGGCACATTTTTTGGTAAATCTGGAGGAGGCAGGAGATGGAGAAGACCAGCAGAGAGGAAGTCAAATGAGTATATCAAAAAGTGTTTGAATGTGGTGATTTATTTTAATGGTGATATCGCATCATTCATTGTGCTAGATTCACACATACTCAGTAATGCAACCTGGAGCATGTAGCTTAATGAGTTGCATATTGCCAAATCAAAGCTTACCTACAGTCCCAGATAGGACACTTTCCTGTAAATCAATTTTAACACATCAGATGTTCACTGAATCCTGTCCCCTTTGTTCATGGAGGCAGAAACTATTTGCCAACTAGGCAGCATCCCAAAATGTGTCCACTCAACCATTTGAAGAACTGCACAGCCATTTGGAGCAGTGCTCATCATAATTAAATATTTAACTTGTTTGCACTCTTTTAATGAGAGGTTACGGAAATTTTTCCCGGCCTCAACTAATTGCTGGGGAAATCTGGGGTACATAAAATAACCAATAAAAAGCAAACTGGCATTGGAACAAATTGTTGGTTTGAGTTACAGTATTTATGCAGCAAAGATAAAACACACAGTTATGGACAGAATGGAAACAACGTGCCAAGTGAAACTGGGAACCAATTTAATCCTAAAGTGGTCCAGATTTTATCTACATGACTGTCAGCAATGGTGGGCTATTTATCACCTCTGTTGAGGGGGACCATTGATATATTGACTTTCATGTGACAAATATCCTCTCTTACTATGACTGCTATACCCTCTACCTTCAAAAATCATTCAGATTATAATACAGTCCCTTCTAACTGGCAGTTTCCATGCCATCTGCGCATACACACACACACACACACACACACACACACACACATATATATATATATATTTAGAGTAGAAGCTTAAATTCTTTTCTAGTGGCACTTTGGAACATACCTGCATGTTAGTTTCACTTCCCAAACAGCTGTCTGGCAGCTTCACCAAGCCTTTCAGATAGTGGCATAAACAATAAGGTCAGGTTGACCTGAAATGGGTAAGAAGCTATGTAATTACAAGCGACACTGACCTTCACAGCTATTGGAGTTTTGTCCCCCAGACTTTTGCCAACATCATATCTGAAACAACACAGTGTCATTTATAAGATTATTTAAAAGGCTGTTTCCTCCCCAACAAGAATGGTGTGAGGTCAAATGCAACAGGCTTAGTAACTTAAGACCCTATCAACATCCACCTGCCTGACCACATCTAGGATTGTTAGATTGTGCAATTTGGGTTTCAAATGCCATAATGTTGTAATTTCGTAATAATGTTCTATTAAGTCTAACAAATGGTTGAAACCACTAAAAATCCCTGATTTATTTTGCTCACCTACTCCTACCCAACTTTACAACCTAATGCACATAATCCTCCACAAGCAAATAGCTGAGATTTGATAAAATAGGGTATCCATGTCCGGGATCCCAATGGCTAAATTGGTGTCTGGGGAAAATTTTGAAAAATTGGCAAAATGTCTGTGTTTTTGCCAACAGAACCAAGAAGTATGTGTTTGAGTATCACTCTTTGCCTTTTTTGGGTGAATTCTGAAAAGGTTTATTTCCCTCAAAAATCTCAAGAACTTTGATGCCAATAGGGTTGCCATATTTCAATTTTCTTGAAATATGGCAGCCCTATAATAAAATAAATTCAAAAAATACTGATTTCCCACACGGTCTCACCAGAGGGAAAATTATGCCCAGAACCCAAATACAGCATATAATAATGGTGGTGTTAGGGACGCAGGTGGCGCTGTGGGTTAAACCACAGAGCCTAGGACTTGCTGAGCGAAAGGTTGGCGGTTCGAATCCCCGCGGCAGGGTGAGCTCCCGTCGTTCGGTCCCAGCTCCTGCCCACCTAGCAGTTCGAAAGCACGTCAAAGTGCAAGTAGATAAATAGGGACCGCTTTATAGCGGGAAGGTAAACGGCGTTTCCGTGTCCTGCTCTGGTGCCGGTTCACCGGAGCAGCGTCGTCACGCTGGCCACGTGACCCGGAAGTGTCTTCGGACAGCACCAGCTCCCGGCCTCTTGAGCGAGATGAGCGCGCAACCCTAGAGTCGGTCACGACTGGCCCTGACGGGCAGGGGTACCTTTACCTTTTTAATGGTCGTGTTAACAATAATATTTCTGTACCACTTTTAAAGCAGTCTACAAAAATAAATCCATTTAAAACAGATAAACCAAATCACAGATAATAGGACAGAAAGGCATAGTGGGGCCTATATAAGGGAAGATGGTCCTTCAGGTGCAAATGTCAACAGTGACCATCTTAAACTTATTCATATCCATTTTACAACTTAATGAGCTTCTTTGATCCCACAGTTGCTTTGGATAGACTCTTCAAAAAAAAATCTTCAGGAATCATTGTAAACATAAGGGGTGAAATTCAGTGTTGCACCATCTTGATGATTCGTTCAGGACAAGCTTTTAAGCTTCCCAGGTGGAACAATTCCCTGTCTTCTCCCCCCTCGTGCTGCTCTGGAGGTTCTCACAACCCCCCTCCCCAGAGTCAATTTCAGGGGAAATCTGTGCAAGGCCTCTTTAGTTGGCTCCTGCCCCTGGAATGCCCACAGTGTACTAAGAGAGCTGGATGGTGATGAGCCACAGTGCCTAATGGTTTACTACAGGACTGATAGAAAGAAAATGAAACATGGGATTTTGCCATCTCATTTGCATTTAAACTTGTAGCTTCCAGAGTCTAGAAGTTTGTAAAGCCCCCTCCTCCTTTCTTAAGTTTTTTAACTGTGTAGAACATTTTTACAAGCTGCACCTTTCTGATGCCTCATTAGCATAGTCACTGTAAACACAATGGTACAGTTGATGTGAACCACATCAACACAATTTCCAGATCCTGCCATTAATCATTTCTCTTGTCGGGAGCACTATTTTAAACCTTTCTCCTCCTATGGAGATGCCAAACCGGCAAAGTCTCTTAAAAAAGAAGAAAGAATGTCACACAGCTTTTACATCTGCTTAAAGCTAACTGAAGGGTGATGCATATAAACACCTCATTTAGAGAGAACACCGGCATAAAAAAGTTGACAGGCGAGAAAAAGCAATTGAAAAGATTAATTCACTAGGATGTGGGTGCTGAGATAAGCTCCTGAGATGCAGCATCTTGTTTTCAATGATGTCTCCAAATGTGGCTATGGTCCTAAGAACATTTAATTATGTTTAAAGCAGCGAAAGAAAGAGCTGCAGTGTTTAAAATGATAGCATAGCTAGGACTTTGCACACAAGCCCAGAGCTTCCATCTTTAAACAAAAGATATTTATCTTTAAACAAATTTGGTTGGTGCTAGATGTTATGGGAGACACAGAGTTCTCACCAAAAATGTATTATTATTTCTAACTTATTATTTTCCTATAATGATATACCACTTTTCTTCTAGCATGGAACTCAAGATGACATCATCTGGTTCCCACAAAGTCTCCCATGCAGGTATTAACCAGTTCCAAACCTACTTAGCTTCACCAAGGTGGTGGTATCTGCTGCTTTCTGACCATACCTGGGACCCACCCTAATGGAAGCACTGTGTCAACTTCTTCACCACTAAGTTGTAGTCTCACTTGTCCCATGTCATGAGGAATGTCCATATAACCTGCCTCACCTGTTCTGTGAATGGGTGCTGGACAAGGGAGTCCATTTGAGCATCCCCATGACATGTCATTATACATAATGGTACATCTGTTCTCCCAGCCTCCCAGGTGTTCCAGCTGTTAGTGCTAGTATTACTACTACCCATATTGTTGTGTCATAGAATCATAGATTCATAGTCATAACTGGTGACTCAGTCTTCAAGGTTTCACATGAGACTTCACTGATTTTGGTGCAAGAGACTAACACAATCACACCTCTAGAAATCAGTCTGTTGTTTTTTTTTACTTTGCCAGTATCAATATATATCAATGTGACTCAGTGTGTCTGCAATTTCAGTCTTCTTCGTTTTAGTTAGCTTGCATGTCTTTCAAAATGTTCTACTCTAGACTTCCATGTAATCTATTACCAAGGCAGGCTTTCTAATTGTTATGTCTAACAACCACCATCCATGGTAGCCTAGTTATTACTAAGGAGGAAAAATAAAAGGGATTCAACAGCTCCATCCATTTGTATAGGGGTGTTGCATAAATTTCAGGAACAGAGAAACTTCTTCCAGGAACTAATATTAGAAAGAGAGATGATTCAACAAAGACATTGAAAATAACATTTAGACAGAAATGCACTAAGACAAGTTAATTCTTATCATCTAATAATGACACCTTAAACCTTCTTAAGCCATATCAGAAAACAATTCCTGTGTGCACCCAAAGATGAATTTACAGATCACATGAACAATTGTGTTATTTACAGCTAACAGTTGATAACTCAAATCTATTAAACCAGTAGCATCAATGATTGCAAATTAATACATTCCCACAATTTTCCAAGTGAAGGGCAATGGGGGGGTGGGATTCTGGAAGCAGTTAACACAGATATGAGCAGTAAACTTTTGCTAAATTCCACTGTGTCGTGAAAGATCACATAAAATGAGAAAATGAACAGGTAAGGAAATGTTATGAAGGTAGAATGAAGTGTAGTCTGGATCACATACCTTCCAAGTGCCCTGGAAAAAACAGGACATTCCATTTTTTCATGTGAGACCTCGGAACATTTTGGGTGCCATGCTCTCACACTGTGCTCTCCCCCCAAGTGCTTTCTTCAGGGCTGCGATCTCGTGTGGCAAATATATCCCACACTTTTTTCCTTTGGACAAGAGTGAGGTGCAGGTCACGTGACTTGCCAGGGAACATGTCCTGGTTCTGGGTTGGAAAAAGTTGGATGGTATGTTAATGCAGCCAATGACATTCTAGACTAATGCGGAGGATTCCACATGGAGAAAAGTGATAGGCCTTCAATCCTAATATTTCAATCCTGAAATATTAGTGACACTGATATATGCATAGGGAGAAAGTTGCCACAGCTTGACTTTAGAATCCTAGCAATTAAAATATACCTCAGTTTGACAGGAGTTAGACTTCCTGGTAATATCATAAATATGCAGGAAAGCAGGTGTGATTGAATGCTTTCATGTCAGGAAATAGGGTCCAGATGATCCAATATAGAGGCATTTAGAGAACATTGTTTTGTTCATTCACAGCAAGATCAATAGATATTGGACAAAGACTGTTTCTTCCTGAGGCGTCAGAGTTACGGTAATCAACATTGTAATCTGCAAATGCTCCATATATATTGAATTCACGCATACCAAAATCTGACCAGACCCATTCAAGGGTAACAAAAAGCACTAATTAAAGACTATGAGGCATAAAGAACCAGAATTACTCCCCCACCCCACTCCTCTCTCTGAGCAGGAGGGAGGAGTTCTTCTGAAAAGTAGAAAGAACTTGATCTCATTGCCAGGCCAAAGTGTCTGTACACAAAACTCAATTTCATGTTGGATAAGAATCCTTATTTTTCTGGTCACGATTATACATTCTCAGCAGGTAATTTTATTCTTTGTTTTGTGTTGCTGCTGTTTGTTTAATTCTGAAACTTCTTTGGGATCAGATAATGAAAAGCAGGATCCTCTAATAAATAAAAACATTAATTATATCTAAGCACTCATTCCCTCACATGCTGAGATTGTGAAAGGATTCTTTATCCTCCTTCCCTTCCCTACCAAACAGAAAGGGACTTTGGATAGATACTCTCTTCATTTGCCATCTCAGGCTTTCTGAAACACTGAGACAGTACTTTTAAAGTGCTCGCTTTGGCAGCACATATACTAAAAGATAGTACTTTTTAAATCACTACATGAAGACACAATAATTGTTCCAGGGACTTTGACAAGAGCTTTCCCCATATGCACTTCAACTGCTCTCTTCTGTACATGAAAAGTATGAAAATGGGAGTGAACTGCTGAGTGGTTTGGGGGGAGGATTAAGGGCTGTACTTAGGGCTGCATGGGAAA